GAAAGATGCCAGGCTGAACCAAGCCTGTGATGATTTCTGATGTAGTAGCAATGTCTGCCATGGGAACAAGAGGGGTTGGCATCATAAATACACCCTTCCTAGTCTAGACAGATCAATTCCACTGAAACAAAATCTCTTCAAGTGCATACTCTCTTCTCCCTACGCTACCATTTTAGTCAAATATAACAGAGAATTGAGATGCCCGAGAATGGTCAAGGATGTTCTGACGAGAGAAAATTCTGGTTCCTGGCTACCTATGAGCTCAGCTTTTCAAGTATCCTAATAGGAACCACATGGCTGGGACAGCTGGGTGCCAGCGGGTCTTCTCTGAGCAGCTGTTTGAAGTAACCTGTGGTTGCCACAGGAACCAGGCTCTGGAGGACATTGGCCTGATAGATTTATTAGGCAGAGGTAAGAGATGCTCTTTTGTCACTAAATGTTATGGCGGTATGTGACCACAGATCCGGAGATTTGGTGACAACAGACCAAGAGGATCCTACTAAAGCTCATCCCATGATATGAGCCCTCAGGATGCTCCTGGGAAGTGCTCTTATCACCCTAGCCACCGTAGGTCCCCGAGAAACAGGACCTGCTGGGCTGGAGGTGAAAGGATGTTCATGGTATGCCTGTTCTCCAGTCTCCATGACCTTCAGGGCTTGATGGTTCCTTGGCTTCCCAGCTGGAAGGGACTTTGGGATCCAGTCTTTTAATGTAATAAATGAGGCCCAGAATGGGATGGAATTTGTGCCAGCTCACACAGTGTGTGGATCCAAAGCTAGGACATGAACCCGAGGCTCCTGACCCCAGAGCAGTCGTACTCTCTCTCCTTTACACTAAGGTTCTACACACTAGCTAACCTTTGAGAGGCATGGCACATATGCCCAAATTGTTCCTCTGTTTAAAATCTTTACCCAGCTGCTGGGAGAAAGAAGAAACTCCAGACAGGGCTCATAAGAGCCACTGTGATGTGGCCCCTGCTGAACTCTCCAGCCTTGTTTTTTAACATTTCCTTCTCACCTTGAACTCTCTGCCGCAGTGAGATCTGTACATCTTGACTGAAGTATGTTCTCTTGCCAAGCCCTCTGCTGTCTTTGCAGTGGTTGCTCCTTCTGATGAGACGCTCTCTATCTTCAACCTGCAAGACTCCTATTCATCCTTTAATTCTAAGCATGCACTTCACTTTCTTCTCCAGAAATTCTTCTTTGCATTCCGGGCCTGGATGAGCTGTGCCAGCTCTCAGCATCCAGGACCTTGTCATTCAAAGTGTGCTTTTGGACCCGAAGCTTTGGCACCACCCAAGAGCTTGCTAGAAATGCAGACTCTCAGGCCCACCCCAGCCCACTGAGTGAATCTGAATTTTAATAAGCCCCCCCAGGTGATTCTCATGCACATTACAAAGTTTGAGAAGCACTGCTCTGAAACACACTTCCCACCCTCTTTTTATAGCATGCTTCTTGTTACACTGCAACTACCTATTGAACGGTTTTTTTCTCACTAGATACTGAGTCTTGTAAAGGCAGGAGCTGTCTTCACTCAGGTATTTCCAGCCCAAAGCACAGCATTAAATGCATTGATGAATCAATAATTTAATGAAGTGAGGTCTCCTCAAGTTTCTTACTATTTGCAAGGAAAATGCGTTTTTTAGAATGCTGTTTTTGTGTGTGTGTGTGTGTGTTTTTAATAGCTACAAAGACCTTAGAGTTCATGGAATTCAGTTGTTTCCAGCTGTGATCTATAGATCCTTGACAGCTCAGAGAGACCAATGGGACCCCTGGTATTGGAGGGGAGTTGAAGAGGAAACCTGGCAGGTATGACTCCAAACCACCCACTCTAGCTTCTACCAGAGTGACTCTGTAGTCACCTGGTCCACACATTCACTCATCTCATTCCCCAATTATTCAACAAGTAATAATTCAGCGCCTACTAACAAGAGTGAATAGGACATAAAGGATCAGTAGCTATACATAAACTGACATTGTAGTGGGGAAGGGAGATAACACATAAGTAAGACATATGCAATATAGAATACTAAAATTATCAATAGTAGAGACAATGCAGAGGATTAAAACATGAGGGTGTGATAGAGTGAATGAGTAGAAATATTAAAGCTATTCCAAGGAGATGACATTCTAGCTAAGACCTGGGTTCTATGTAAGATTTGTTTAGAAAACAAATGGTTCACAGCCTATATATATATATAGATATCTATCTATCTATCTATCTATATATATGTATATATATATATGTATATATAGATATGTATATTTACTGTGCTAGCTCAACCTGACCACTTTATAGGAGACTGAGGGCCAGAGAGAACCAGCACTCAAGATTGCTCAGTGAGTTTATCAGCAGAGCCAGGATGAATTAGGATGCATCTGCCTGGATTCCTGCTGACATGCCAGGGTGGGATGTTGGAGGAATGTCAGATGCCCTCCAGAGGCTGGAAAGACCAAAGGCGGAGGAAGCTGTGGTGGGGACGGGCAGACAGTGGCTGGTGTCTAGTTGGCCAGAGGTTAGCGGGTTATCACAGTCCATTACTGAGTGGGCTGTGCTGCCTCTGTGGGCGGCCGGGCAGCCTTTCCAGAAGATTTATGTCCTGGAGGGTCATAAAGGACCCCTGAAGATTATAAGGACAAAGTCGGGAGTGGAGTTCTGGTCTGGCTTCCACACACACTCCCTGGGCCCTGTGGGACAGCTCGGCACAGTGGAAGGCCTTTCCCTGTCCACGGGCAAGATGGCAGCTTTCATCTGGGGCTCTGTGCTTCTGCTTGTCTGTCTGCCCTCTTTAATCTTTTATCTAAAGAACCTTCCTTTCATGTTAAAGGAAGAAAGTTACAGTCCAGGACCTAACAGAACAGATAAGGCCCAACCCAGGAGGCTACCCCTGTATCCTTTGACCAAGCCCTCATGTCTCTCCTGGAGGGCCTCAAATTCTTGGAGGGTTATTACAAGTGTTATAAGGGCTCAGAGTTAGAGCTCAGGGCAAAGCCAGGCTCTACACATAAAAAAACAACAACACTGTGCCACCCTGGGCAGCTCATTTACTCCCCCGTGGGGCCTCCGATCCCTTATCATTTATAAAATGGGGAGGATACCCTACTTTGTCCAGCTTACAGGGACATTTTAAAGCTCTCTAAAGCACAACGTGTTGTCCACTAAGTATTGCAGGAACTCATGCAATCCTCTCCAACGAAACTGATACTATCCCGGCCTAGAACCACACAGGAGAGACCACACTGTCTCTCCTGGTTATCACAACAGCCTCTAGGGCCTCAGGCCTCCCTCCTGTGTGGAGTCAGCCAATGTTTCCCTCTTAAAGATCTGATAATATCGCCCCCCCCCCCTGTGAAAAACACTTGAAAAGCTTCCAGTTACCCTAGGGAGATAATCCAAACTCTTTAACCCTACTTAGCTGGCATTCAGGCCTGGCCCCTGCTGACCTGCCCTTCTTATCTTTTACGCTCCTGCTGTCACACACTTTGCTCCAACTACATGGGAATTCTTTCAGCTCCTCTGCAGTGTTTACCAAAGTGGAGGGGTTCCCCTGGGGCAGAGGGAAAGAGTTTAGGGGGTACACAAGATGATCATAGACCCAATATTCAACAACAGTGACTCACACTGGGAAAAGCAGCTAGAGTCCCTTTTTCATTCTCTTCGCTTCCACCAGATTACTTACAAAAAAAAAAGTTTTGGTTCGGGGCTATGTCTTTAGTACTTCTCTGACACTTGCGAATCTCCCTTTTTAAAGGGTGAGCCTTGGGTTCTGCAGCAATGGAACTATTTTATTTTATTATTTTATTTTACTGTATTGTTTTGCATTGTGTTGAACGTTTAGGTTTCATTTTCTATTGAAGTTAGTTGGTGCCACATTTCTCTTCACAAGACAATACAGTGCTTTCTTTTCAAAGACATTCTCAATAAAAAAAAATGAATCTCAGAAAGAACTATCAGATGGATTAAGTACATATAGTATGGTGATATTGCAAAAATCATAAACGTCGCAGGCAAATCATCAAAATTTGAGAGAGTTTAAAACCCTGGTCTAATGTAATGTTATCACCTCTGGCATTTGCCCTGGCGAGTCCCTCTGCTCAAAACCCTCCAATCTTCCGCTCCCTCCATTGGCCTGACCCCTGCTCACCTTTTACGTCTCAGTCTCAGCTCTCGGGGAAGCCTTCACTGGGTTACCTACACTAGGTGCCTATGCTTTGCCTCCACAAAGAGCCCTAGTCTTCTGCTATCAAGACACTTGTTATTCCTATTCTTTGCAATTGCTTGTTTAATTACCGGCAACACTAAACTATGCTGAGGTAGGGGCAACTTCTACCTTTTTACTACTGCATGGTCAACCACCAACATGTAAGAGGCGCTGCTAAGTTTGTGCTGAATAAGTAAGTAAATGAACAAATATTGTTAGGTGCAAGGCATGAGATACAGCCACCTTTTCATGTACTACTTTACTAAGCTTCAGATGATGTCATCTCTTAGTGATGTTTGAATCCTCCGTGGCACCTAGAACAACGGCTGCATAGTTAACTGATGGCGACAAAAAGCATGCCTAAATACGTGTTGCATCTATGAATGTATCTAGTCATCATCACTATTGGCCTTCATTCCAGAAAAACTCAGACTTCTATGGAAGAGTGGGATGAGCCCTGGGTTAGGGGCCATGTCCCTCCCACTGTGCCCCCTCTGTGATCTTGGTTAGGACACATCCCCTCAAGGAGCCTAAGGTTTCCATCTCTAAAATTGGAAGTGGAAGTTGAGCAAGAGAGTGATCACAAGAGCACTGATATGTCTCTGTTATCTGACATTCCAGGAGTCCAAGAAGCTAAAATTCCAAGATTCATTTTCTCCTTGCCCATTTCTCATCTCCATCTAGCCCTGGCATGACTAAGGTGATTGCCACCCTTATTTATTTGATGACGCTCATTCTCAGTAAAGCCAAATGGAAGCAAGAATAATTTACCCCTCCACTCACACTCATGTGCTCATACCTGGGCCCCAGTTCATCTTCACTCCTCCAGACAAAGTCACCAAACTTCTCGTAGTGAGAGTTGTAATGGTGCTGAACACGAAACAGCATCGAGGCTGAGACCTCCATCAGCGTGTTGTAGGCGGTCTGCTGTTCCTTTCCACTCGTGTACCCATTGTACAGATTGTAGATCTTGTCAGCTATCTCTGAGGGGGAAGAAATGCAGGCACAGATCACTGGACAGTAAGACAAGGTGAAGATGGAAACAAGTCTCAGAAGAAGGAAGGCGTATGTGTGCAGGAGTTCACAAGCATGGTCTTTGGGGGCAGACAGGCCTTAATTCCATTCTGAATATCTCATTGACTAGCTGTGTTTAGTTTCCCTAGCTATCAACTGGAGACAAAGATGTCTATTCTGAGGTACACTAGGAGGAGGAAACTCAAAAAGTGTAGGTAAAGTACTTGTCACAGGACCTGGCACACAGTTACTCGCATCATTGTAAGTTTCATTGTTCACATAAGTTTTGCATCCACAGTGTAACCAAAATTTTCAAACAAGTGCAGAAGCTTAAGTAAACTGTCTTGGGCTCATCTCGACAGTCTCCCTCTGTCTCCCCACTGTCATAGTTCCAACATATTTTTGTGATCATGTCTGATAGGTCTTCATTCAAAAATCTTTCCAAGAAACTCCAGCCTCTTCATGCCATTCACACTCCTTCAGCCACTCCTACAATCGATGTAACTTAAATCATCATGGGCTGCTCTCCTGAGTAAAAAGCACATTTTTTTTTCATCTTTGAAGACTCTGATCAAAACTTATATATGTCCTCAAGGCACTGCCTAACACCAGTTGCCTCTAGGAGACTCTGGGGGACTTGGGGTCAGGAGGACAGGAGCATTTAATTTGCACTATTTTCTACTCTGATTTTTATGGCCTTTATGCTTTTTTTAACCATGTGCATGTGCTACTTTAAAATAATAATAATATAATAATAATAATAATAATAATAATAATAATAATAAATTATCAGGAAAATGCCTCAAATCCCCTTGCTTTTGAAACTCAATAGCTCACCATCTCCTCTCATCTAATAGCATAAAAAACATTTATTATCCAGCTTACGACTGAGTCTTTTGTAGACATGTCTGTCTCTCCCTCTGGAATGTGAAATCCTAAAAGGTGGAGACCATATCTCTTCTGCGTTCCTTTACCAGGGCCCTCAGGAAGGACTTGCTCAACTTGAAGTGAGCCACCAGGACTTGAGAGCTACTGTGCCATCGTTACCAGTGCTGATGTAAAGGCTACATCTACACGTTTCCTGAGAACAAAGTGTATGGTGGGTCCGATGGATCAGTTCTATGTTTTTCAGACATACAGTCTGATATTTACAACTTCATGGATCAGGGACAGCAAAAAAGGTTTAATCTTGCTGATCAAACTCTTGACCGAGAGTCACGGACTATAGTTCTATGCTGAGAATGCTGAAGCCATCCTTGAGCTATAGGTGGGAAAGTGTGCTGTGATGAGCTAATGATGTCTGCATGGGCACAGCAAGGTGCAGTGGTCTTCCGGGTGCCACCCATTTGCCAGCTCCCCTGGACGCTGAAGTGGAAGAAAGTGATCGGTCTCTAAGAAGTCTAGGCCAAGGGCTAGGATACAGTTGTGGGCTCTGGCCCTCCCTCATGCATTGCCTCTAAGGCAAGACTTAGAGAAACTCTATAAAAGAGGAGCAAGTCTTTCCACTGGCAAAGATATTGCTGGCCACTCTTGATTTCTTTCGTGGCTTTGATTACTTGAGCTCTACATTCCTCGTGCCCCTTCAGTCCGTTCACTGTCTTCTTTAATGCCAATATGTGTGGGAAAAGCAGTGGTGGTTAGTGACTATTGGGCGCAGAGCTTAGAGAGAAATAATATGGGAGTTATCTGGGAAGTGAAGAAATGAGTCACCTACCTTCTGCCTTATTGTCATCAACCAGCGGACACGCTGTTCTCAGGGTCACCGTGCTGACCTCCGAGTGCCTCCCTCGTGTATCCACAGCATACAGAGTGAACCTGTAGTGTAGCAAAGAAACAGAGCACCGGGCTGTGACTTCAGAGAAGGCCCTGGACAATCAACACAAGGAGAGGCGAAAACTCATAGCACAGAGGTGGTGGAGAACACTCAGGCTGCAGGAGGAATGGTTTGGAAACAAGGATGATGATGACAAAGCATTTACTGAGCAGCAACTGCCTCCTGGGCACGTTAATCTTGATCTCTTAATTTACAAGTGAGCAGGCCTAGAAGGCATGGATATTATCACCTACATTCCACAAATGAGGAAACTGAGGCTTAGACTGTGCCTCTTTCCACCGTCTCAGTTACAGAGGAACAGAGCAGTCTCAGTCCAGGGCTTGAGAAGTGAATCCCAGTGCTGTCCTGTATAGCTGGATATACTCACTTATCTGTTATTTCAGTCACTTACTTAACAAATATTTACTGAGCCTTAACTATGTGCCAGGAATTACTTTAGATGCTAAGGTTCTAAAGATGAGCAAAAGAGTCAAGGTCCCTGCTTGCATCAAGCTAGTCGCAAAGTAAACAAAATGTTAGATAATATGAAAGGTAATGTGATAGGATAATGTGAAAAAGACTAATGTGGAGGGGGTTGTGGGTGCTTTCGACAGGTTTGTCCATGAAGGGCTCCTGTGGAGAGAAAGTGTGAGCTGAGCACTGAACAATGAGAAGGAACTGGTTTATGGGAGGAAGGCCGAGGGGAATAGCCCTCCAGACAGGGAAGGCAGTAAGTGCAAAGGCCCTGAGAGAAGGATCCCAGACTCTTGGAGGAATAGGCAGCTGGTGTGGCTGGAGCAAAATGAGATGTGGTGGAAGGTCAGTGGGGACGCTGTGCGCCATGATAGGGAGTCTTGGAGTCATTTTAGGTCCAAGGCATGCTCCACCTTTCTGTGGTGTCACCTGAGGCTCCACGCTGTATTGGGGGAAGAGTAAACCAGGGTGGCATTAGAATGGGAGAGCCGATAAACTGCAGACCTGATGGATTCAGGCCCGATCAGGGGCACAGAATTCTTTCTAGAGCAGTCATTATCCTCTGGCCTACCTTGAGAAGGCTCTCTGGCCCTTCACACCTCCAGGTTTCCAAGCACAGTGTTTGAACAAAGCCTAAGGAGTAGAGAAGACTTCCAAGAGGAGGTGAGCCTTGCAGGTCAGGCACAATCTGAATAGAAGGGTTGAGCATCTGCGTGCCGTATCTTTGTCATGCAGTCTTCTTTCACTGGCCTTCAAGAATAGCGGCGGTAGCATGGAGTGGGAAGAGGGTCTCCTGGGTCAACTGCAGTCCAGGTGCCCTATTTCCTTTCCTCCCTTCCCCAATGCCTCCACAAAATGGGCATCACACTATGATTTCTAAGTTTCAGAATGACAGTTCCTGATTGCCTGCCCATGTGAGGCACTTAATAAATATGAGTTAGTTGTACATGTTAATTAATATATACTAAGACCTTAATGTGTCAAGCACTGAGCTAAGCAATTTTACCTGCATTATCACTATTTATTCCCCTAAACAATCCTACAAGATAGTTACTATTACTGTCTTTATTTTATATGAGGCTCAGAGAGGGGAGGCAGCTTGCTCAGAACCACACAGCAATGTCTGGGACTGGCAGTTTAAGCCGAGGTGTGTCTGACTCCAAAGCCTATGAATTTAAAACCTGTCAGCTACCATCTCCTGGCCAAAAGTCGGTGGATATCAACTCTGTACAAATATAATCCCATTAGGTACACTTGCCCACTTCCAACTATGTTGAGATAGTGCCATTCTGCATGTTTTTCTAATCTTAGGAAAACCTGCTAAACCATCACCCTTATTATTTCCATCTTTCAGAAGAGGAAACTGAAGATCGAAAAATTAGGCAATTTGTCTAAAGTCACAGAGTTAGACAATGAAGAGAGTCAAGACTTGTACCATGGTTTGTCTTACTCTGAAACCGTTTGCTCTCAGCTGCCACTTGTTGCTCCATTTTTACTGCTCCCTAGCTCAGAGGGTCTGAACTTGAGAGTCTACACATGCCCTCCCATCTTGGATACCTCATGACCTGATGCCTCAGAGGTTGTTTTTATACAAGGCACCAGGAACCTTCTTGGTCCAAGGGTCCCAGTAAGCAGAAGGCAGTATCTTTCTGGAGAAAAGACCATTTGTCTTCGTGTGTGTGTAAAAATCTCCTTAAAAATAATGAATTTCTCTTTTAAAGAACTGGGAAAGGTGCTTACCCCTTGCTAAGAATGTTTCTAACTTATTCCTTGACATTGATTCTGAGTTTCATTGTAATTAAGACAGCACAGTAGTACCATCCTGTCTTTTCCTCCCCGGTTGAAATAACAAGCAGTAGGAAGTTGATATTCTTGGCGCACAAAAGAATTCATCCATCGGTCATGCAGGGTCTGTGTTTGTGATGCCACGAGCCAGGCTGGCAACAAGCCCCACAGCCACATATGCTCCACATTCTTTGTTGCGATGGGACAACTGCCACTAGGCCCAGGACAGAGCCTCACCTTCTATCACTGCAGGAATGTCAGCAGTGAGCTGGTGCTCCATCCTGCTGCAAAGGGGGTTTTGGGGAGGGGTCCAGCTGGGATCAGGTCACCCAGAGTTCTGGTGGCACGTTGTGGGGAAGCAGAAGGAGCCTTGTGTCCAGGGGGCACTCATTGAAATGTTGGTTCTGGTGCTCACGAGCTGTATGACCTTGGGCTAGTTGATTATCCTCTGACCCTCAGTCTCTCCATAGGTGACACAGGAGAAACAAGTCCCTCCTTTCAGAGTCATCAGTTCAAGTGCAGGGACCAAACACCCAGCACGCTTCCTGGGTGTAATGTGAGCCATGGTCACCATCTCATGAGTGTTCACAGTTGTTGGGTCATTTCCATGCATTATTCATTCCAGTTAACCTTCACACTGTATGAGTCGGGTACTATGATTGCTTGCATCTTACCAGTAAGCATATTGGTTCCAAAGATGTCAACTCAGTGACCTATTATTACGTATTAAGTAAGGAGCAGCTGGGGATCAGAACTTAGGACTGCCTGAATCCAAAAATTATGCTTTTCACCACACTGTACAATACAACAGTCCCCCCTTATCTGTGGGGGACATGTTCTGTGGCCCTTGGTGGATGTTTGAAACCACGGATAGTACCAAACACTATACAAACAATGGTTTGGTTTTTTTTTTCCTATACATGCATACCTACAATAAGATCTTTTAGGCAAATTCATGGGTAGAAGATTTGTTCTTACCATCATAGATCTTAGCAACCTCACCATACAATTTTTTTTTCTTTCCTTATTTAGTCAAGACCTTGTACGTTTGTCTTCATAGAAGCACCTTATGGCTTCTCTTTTGCATCTCCAAATTGCCAGCATCACTCCTCTGTGCTTTAGGGCCATTATGAAGCGAAATACGCATGCCTTGAACACAAGCACTGTGATACCACCACAGTCGATCTGATAATGGAGACAGCTACTACGTGACTAACGGGCGGGGAGCGGCTACAGCATCAGGTCAGTGCAGATGGATGGGAAACGTAAGTGCTGTACGAGATGAGTTAAGATTGGGAAGTCTTGCTCAGGGATAGAAAGCAAGATCACAAAAATTCCTCCAGGATGTGAGAATAAGCAAGTGGCAAACTGGGGCGGTAAGGACAGTACTGGGTAACACTGTGTAAGCACTTCCTACCCACACAACTAGCCATCAAGGATGTGGCTGAGGCAGGACCCAAACCCAGCCTGTAGCTCCTAAAGCATGTATACTTCAGCTTGGATACAGCTCTATCCCTGGCACTTATTAGGTATATGGTGGGCACTCGGTAAATATTTGAGTAAATGAGTGGATCAAGCATATCACATTTTATTTTTGAACTTCAGTGTCTGAGTCCACAAAATGGGGATAATTGTAGAGACAGCGCATGGCTGTGTCAAGGGTTTCATGGACTGACACATGAGAAGTGGCTTGTAAGTTGCAGATTTTATAAAGGCCATAGAAAGAGTGCTTATTTGTGCAAGAGCGCACATTTTAAAAGCGCTTTCTTGGAGCGGAAGAGAAGGGGATTCATTTCCAGAGAGAAACATGAAAGGCCGTTGTGAATGGAGTATATGACTGAGCCTCAAAACATGAGGAAGTGGGTTTGTTTTAATGCTGCTTTCCCATTGGCTACTTGTGTTTCCATGGTGCTTCTGTGCTACATTTCCTCCACCAAGAGGGTCCAGGGTCACCTCTCTGCTTAGCCAAGCAGCGTGAAGAACAGTATGCTGGGAAGAAGCAGTCTTAGGTTTTCAAGTTATCAAACCTGGGCAGAATCCTTGCTTTCCCCAATTGCTGGCTGAGCATTCTTTGGGAAGTCACTTCACCTTCTCTCTGAGCCTTAGCCTCTGCACCGGTAAAGTAGGGTGAAATTATCCATATCTCACAGGTTGGGGATCGAGGCTCAATGATATAATGATTGTAACAGGCCTGGTTTAATCAATCTTTGCCCTGTAAAAGGTAGCTTCTATTTGTGTTTATTAGAGTATCCAGACCTGTCAGTGGAGGCCTCAGGATAGAGGAGGCCTTAGGCCACCCTGCCGGTGGGGGCGGAGGGGTAGAGAAAGAGGAAGATGTCAACCTCACAGGCCTGGGTCAAAAGTCACAAGGCCATACGCTTTCTGCCTGTCTCAGCTGTAATTGTAGAACTGTTCCAGAGACACATCTGAAAGCTGTTAGGGGACCGGGCAGGGCCTGGAGGGGCTCTTTGTGAGGGGAAGAAAGTGGCAGCCCTGATGTAGACAAGGAAGAGAGAAAGAGAGAGGGCGAGGCTGAGAGAGGGTACAGTCAGGTCTCTGTGTTTCTCAGGGGATCAGGCAGGGGATCTTCTGTTCAGCTCTTTCACCTTCTCTTTGCCATCGAGGCAGGCTGAGATCCACATATTATTTGAACTAGAACTCCTGAGCCATCACCAAACTCCACATTCTCACCTCACAGGTGGGATCCTGAGGCCCAGAGTGGAGAGAGACTTTGCACGAGGAC